GACAACGTCTGTCGGGTCCGCTAGTATAAAAATAAAAATTAACGAACTACAAAAAACAGAATCAATATTGTTATTTTCTTATTTTCGTACATCTATCAAGAAGGTTTTTGTAAATTATTTACCTTTTTATATGCAATATATATTATTGTATATGTACATAAAAAGGGAATTAATAACATTTATTAATTTTTCATTTTTTCTTGGAAATAAACAATATTTGTTCTTTTGATCGAACTAAAATAATCTTGAATTGTAATATATACTCGTAGTAGGTACCACAAAGTGACAGATCATAATATAATAGATACTATACTAGTATTAGTACTAACCAAAAGATTCGAGGCGGTAAGTTTACCTGACCTACTTAGTTCGTACCTTATTACGAGGTTATCTTACCTTAATATAAATACCAGCATTTTCTTATAATATTATTGTTATATATAAACAACATTTACAAAACACGTACCTAAATAAAACAAAACAGAAACCAAACCAGCCACCAATTATAGCGATCAAATATTTCTTGCCTAATTAAGACAATTGTTGAATGTTTATATCTCGGCGCCTGGTAATCACGCAAATGCATAAAGTGATACATAAATGGCTGAGCAAAAATTTTTCAATGGCTTACTAATTATGAACAATATTTGATTAATTAGATAAATCTTGCAATTTCGTCTCTTTTTAACGGTATTTAATTCCTTTTAAAAATGCTAGAAAGCAACGGGCTGGCCGCATTTGCAATATGGAACCTACTCGTATTGTCCTAGGTAGAAATCATTATGACTATCTCTCGGCTAAAATCTACCATGATTATATATCCAGCCACCATCTACTACCCCGATGGATCGCCAGTACCAAAACTTTCGCAGTTTAAGTATTTGGGCTCATTGATGACAGCAGATGCAAACATCGATGCAGATGTAGCCCATAGAATAGACGTGGGGTGGCAAAAATGGAGAAACTTAACAGGTATTCTATGTAACCCACGAATGCCCATCCGAACTAAGGGAAAAGTATATAAAACAGCAATCCGATTTGCTTTATTATACGGAGCTGAATGCTGGGCCGTTAAACAAAGTCATGAACATAAATTACACGTAAATGAAATGTAAATGCTGAAATGGTCAGGAGGTGTAACTAGGCTAGATAAAATCAGAAATGAATATGTAAGAGGCAGCTTTAAAGTAGCCCCGATAAATGAAAAATTAACAGAAAGTCGACTATGATGGTACGGTCACGTTATGCGGAGAGACAATGACTATGTGGTTCGCAGGGCGTTGGATTTACCCGACGCCCGCCTGGCACCTGGTGGACTAACATGACCCGAACCATAAAACAGGCTAATATAGACATAGGGACAATCCAGGACAGAATGCCTGGCGCAAAATAATTAGGAGAGCCGACCCCACCTAAAGTGGGAAAAGGCAAAGAGAAAGAAGAATGTTTTAAAAGTTTAAACAAACAAAATTTACCACAAGATACTAGCTCAATTCAGTATTACAAAAGAAACGCTAAGAACTGATAGCGGTTTATGAAAATAATAGCTGGCTAATTAAAATGCATATAGCGTTAGTAAAATCTACATAAAAAGAATAGAAATAAAGCATGTATATAAAATAAATTATTACTATTAAAGTCCAATAAAAATATATTTAAATGCAAGTTAGTATGTATTTATTTGTATGTAACCTATTTTTTGAAATGTGGTTATTATTTACAATATATATACATACATATATTTTGTGATTCTAAACTCGTGTAGTTTGGAATGGACAAAGTTAGAGAACAACTTTCAAATGATACTACGAGTAAGTAGTGTTCCAAATTTGTTGTAGTTATTAAATTAGTTCCAAAGTTATAGAAATGCCCAGTGAAATATGTATAAGTATGAACTTACAATAAAAAATAGTGTTATCAATAAAAAAAACTTGTGTGTACGCACGTAAGAAGATATACCTATTTATAATGTATGACTTTAATAATTTTATTGGCCTTTAACTTGTTTGCCAGGTTTTATAAGATTTATTTAACCCAAAATATAAAATGCTAAAACAAAGGTAATATAATTATAATATTTTTATTAATTACCACCTTCGATCAATAATACTACTTGTTGATTGAAGATTATCACCTCCTCTTCTGAAGCTAAATCCTTATTTGACTGAGCTATCTAATATAATTAATGTAATATAATCAATCTATATATGCATACTATGTAGACACTCCCAGGATAGAATTAATTATTATTAAATACTAAATAAATAGACATGCAGGTTTCCTCACGATGTTTTGCCTTCACCGTAAGACAAGTGTTAATCAATTTAGAAATGATGATTCGCACATAAAAATATAAGACATATGAGACCCGGACCGGAACCCGGTTCTTCAGTCGGTTTCCCAAGCAAACACGCTACCACTGGGCTACCACTGCCTACAGAGAACTTACTAACTTAGTAAGTTTTCGGAAGACATGTGAACTGCACCAACACGTACTAGGCCAACTTGGTGTACCATGCCCTTATCCCTCTCGTATTATAAGAGGCCCGAACCCCAAAAAAAAGGTCGAAATCAAATAAATAGAATTTTCTATACAATAGATTAGCAATGTCTTAATATTAATTGCTTGTGACCAAGTCAAAGTAACTGTTAATTCAGAGTACTTACCAAAGCAAAATTGACTTTACCGATGTCGTGTAGAATTAACAAGATACATAGGAGTAATTTATCTTTAACTTTAAAATTAAATATTAAGGAAATAAGAAATTTAGTCTGTCATAAATAATATATTTGTTGAAATAAAGTTGTAAAAATCACGTAATAATACCTACATATTTGCTCAAAAGCTACAGAGCTTTTATAGACCAAAAAAGATATAGGAACAGAAAACTCAGTAATCGAGTTCTGTCCGCGGTTTCTTTGAGCCGTACCCAAACCCTAAAACTCTACATTTGATTATATGATAAGAAAGAGGAACGTTTCTTATAAAATCTGATTGTACAATTAACATTTAGACAGCACAATGCAATTTATACAACATTAACTTTAAAAAAATGTTAGTAGTAAGGATATATTGTAGGTTTGATAATTGATTTGTTAATCGTATACGCTACTTATGCTTGGTCAGTTTACCTATCTGTACAGCTAAACACGAACGAATAGTGGGAGAAAACTATATAGCTTTACATATAGTTAAACTGTAGATACAGACAAAACTGTACAGGTATAAAGTACCTATAACAAAGCCTTAATTTCAATATTTATTCAGGCCGCAGCCGTGACGCACTGACTTAATGTAGGCAGAAAACGGGGAGTAAAGCGCTCACATTTCCCATCCACCTCACAAGCTGCACCATTCATGAAAGGATATTTATTAAAACAATACATGCGGTATCACAATTTATTGGACAAAACTTATGGATAAAATAGCACATGAAATTTGTTAAGTTAATTGAGTAGGTAGTCTTTACTTACACTAATATTATAATTTGAAATAGAGGAAGGTATTTTAATTAGATCAATCATATTTTACTTTGAAATCTAAGATACACTTAATATTTATAAGTTATACAGATGACGAGTTGATATTAAAAGCAGTAAGAAAATATAGGTGGAACACAGACAGTAGTAAAGTTGGTCATCTGATTGGCTCGTCGACATATTAAGCTTAAAAGAAACTGGAATATTGATATATTAGGCTTTTTTTCATATATATATATATATATATATATATATATATATAATCGATATCAACAAGTCACCTGTATAATACAAAAGTCATAGATCAAAAATCTTAGCACAATATGAAGAAGTGAATATGAATATTAATGCATACATACACGACAAAGACACATTGGAATGATCAATACCTTGAACACAGATATGTATGCGAACCGTACGTGACTAGAGAAACTTGAAAACTTTATATTATTACTCTATTTAGAAAAATATCTTGCCTTATACTACTGTTATGGATATGGCGTCTACATAAGATTCGGTTAGCTACAAGACGAGGAACTGTACCATTCTCTCGATGTGGTACTTTAAGCACCTATAAATCTATATAAATCATACTTATATGTTATTAAAATACATAAATTTGGATCTCTGAAGCTTTAGTGTCATTGTTCCCATTAGTTTTTTAGAAGATAATCAAATCATTGATGCGTGTTAAATATTAGAAATGCAATACAGTACTTTAATTTTGAAATTGGCACTGATTTAAATGATTTGTTTTTTTTATTAAATTTTATATTTAATTTCATATAAACTCCAGAATACAAAAAAATCTACTTTATAAATATTACGTTTATATTCTTATTTATAGAAGATACATTAGGCTCTATTAAAATGCTTAGAAAATACATAGATTAAATATTTCAAGAAAAATATTTTAAACACTCATGGCTACAAAGTACAAGCTAATATATCTAACACTGAATAATGCATACTACTTCAGGCCTTTATTTCATATATTCGTTATCTAAAAAAAATATAAAAAAAAAATATAACATTTACTATTTATTAATAGAAATCTTATACTGTGACGTTCGCTGCACGAGCCAGTTAACAAAAAGATGCAGCCGTCCGACCTCTTGATTCATCAGAAGCTTTTTAAATTAATAATGTCTTAAAGCAAACGATCGAACATTTAAAATAATAATTTATCTGGGTACATTTAAATAGGGGTGTAAAGAAAATATCAAAAGGAAAATTAAATAAATTTAATATAATCATGTGGTTCATATTGCAATACTCATATGCCAGTAGCGTATTGATTTTTAAATATCACTCTCCAAAAGGCCCGCCCGCTTCGGCCTCGGGTAGTCAGTTAATTCTATTTCCTCTACATCTCGTGAGGATCCCGCACGTTCAGTTACCGCTCGGCCGTTTCTAGTGTGATTTGGGGCTGCTTCGTCTATTTTCAACAGTTCGATGTCGACTCCAGTTTCGTCTTTATCGACCGCTGTCCTGCTCGGACAACGGTCTAGCTCCTGTCAGGTAGCCTGTAGTTCGGCCAGTGTGTTGTCTTCATCGTGTAAACTTTTCTCTGCAAGCCTAAAGCTCTCCAAAAACTCATTCAGATCAACGAGGCCGTCTTTATTTATATCCATTAATCTACATATATCGACGAGCTGATCTTGAGTCATCGGATTTGGCATATATTTGCCCAATAATTGACAAGCTTCGGAAAATTCTTCTAAAGTTATATAACCTGAAAGAGATTTTAAATGTTTTATATCTATATATCTCTGTATCAAATATCATCTTTAAAACTGTCGTAAACAGTATAGTATAGTAATGAAACGATCAAAGAACTAATGAATTACTGTCGATAAAGTTTTCAGTACTCACATAAAGTAAACCGTAAAACTAGGGTGGAAATATAAAACTTGTTCGTATCGGTTATGAGGCCCTCATTATTTGAAAATGATACTTTAGAATAACCTTTAGCCAGCCATAATATAACTTTTACCTGAATTATCTTTGTCGAGAATTTTAAATATAGCCTCCAAACTCCTTTTATTTTTGTAGAGTGTTTCGACGACTGTTTGAGTGTCGGACTTCCGACCAAATTTCTGTAACGAAAATAGATAAAGCAACTTATATTTTGTCATTTTAAAATATATATTACTAGTTAGATGTTGATTTGACGTTTCGTAATTTTATTTAATTAATTTAAGTATTAAACTAATTAAACATTCCAATACTTATTATGTAATTACCAATTAAAATCATTCATTAGTTAAACCTTCAGTTGTAGTTCGTAGTCTATTATATCATACTAGCATTTTCCTGCGGCTCCGCCCGCATAGTAGATACACGTACGTACCTTCTCCGAAACACGCTGCACCTTATGGTATGAGTATTATTCCGATCGGTTCAGTAGTTATCGCAGTATAACCGAACAAAAAAATCGGCTCTCCATTTATTAGTATAGATTTTTGTACGATTCTTACGCTTATTGGAAGTAGACTCTCCAATTCGGTACATTCAGAAGACCATCAGATTTCAATAAAATAAGTCGACTAATTAAAGCATTTGTCCTCAAAGGGCGAAGGTCGTTTTAATTGAAGCGACACAATCTTCTAACAACCTTCATAATTTATCAACTTCAAATAAAAGAACGTACCTACTTAAAATTAACGAATCATTTGATCTCCACGTTTATCTATTTTCACTCGCTTTGCTTAAAATTAGCTATTCATCGAATCATCTAAGGAATTCATTTAAGAGTTCTAATAAATAATTAATTAAATCTGACTGAATACTGTTACACATTCAACGGTTTTCTTACAATATGGTTAATATAAATATATGTATGGATCGGGGATTCAAATCTGTTACTGCCATTAAGCCGCCGACGCCCTCATACCCAAACGACATGGAGTCTTTATGAGAATTTAAATAATATAAAAATATAAAATTCGTATACTGAAAATTACTTTCATATTATTCTAGTACGTGTTATTTTTATTTAAAGTGAATTAAAGCAAGTAAAGAGGAAGCCTGAAGCAAAATATATCTACACATGAAACATACGACGTAATTAGATGCAACGAATACTGCAAGCAAGGCTAAGTAGACCTTATAAAACTGTGGCGTATACAAGTATAGTAACCTACATATAGGTACCAACTACGTAGATATGTTAACACTATTTCCCACATGGGTACCATACTGTACTGGTACTGCACCGTAGCAGGCACTATACTCGTAGTAACTTAGCTTTCTGTGTAGTAGTTTATAAGGAAAGATATGTTTATACGAGGATGTCACGAGTAACAAATATGTTTCCCAAATTATATTTTAGCTAAATTACTGCATATTCATCAAAGCGCTAAAATTGCAACAGAGTTTCAAAATTCGATTCCCGAACTAATAATTGTAATGGTCTTATTAGTTTTAGTGTGGTATAAATACAAAAAACTTACATTTGCAGTCAAATCAAAAGTGTCCATGTACCGCACGCGGCGCGTCTCTGGGTCGGTGCGAACAAGTTTATCCTTCAGCATACGCCACGGCAGACCAAGGTGTGTTGTTTCTTCCATTGCGTAACACCAATCGCTTATTGTGATAAAACCTGTAGTATAAAGTAGCAGGTGAATACGTAACAGCCCGACAAAAATAAATATTTTGTAAGCAATAACTACTAGTATAGTATCATGTCATCTGTGGCAAATAATAATAAATAAATATAAAAAAAGATACTAATTAAATAATATTATAAAATATATTATTTAAATTATAGAAATTTTAGCATTCGTAAAGTCTATTGAAAGTTTTTCTTAGTCTCATTTAAGTAATGTCCTCTCTAATTTATAAAGCACTGGCACTGATTAATGATGATCAGTCTAAAGTCGCGCCGAATTCAAAAGATAATAGTGACAAATGGTTTTAAATTTTTACCGAAACTTTGTGACACTTAAGAGAAAATTGACTTGAAAATAAATATCATGAAAAGCTTTCAGGCAAGAAACCTCAAGATTCACTTAAAAAAAAGGTTGATAAATGTATATGATAATTAATTTAAAGTAGTAAAGCAAAATACACCTTATTCCGAGGTATTTAGAAAACAAGTGATAATAAACGACATACAATTAATTATATTTTTTAAATAAAATATCTCTTATCCTATCATATATTTTATGTTATCGTTTGTAAGCAAGCATCTTTAGTGCTCGTCATTAAAAATGCTCCTTTTAAATGAACTTAAACACATATATACGAGACTACGACTCGTATTTCTATATCTAGGTAGTATAACTTGAGAAAAGAATTCCCGCAGCCTTCTCTCATACTTTAAAAGTTTGACATCTACGAGAAGTCATAACTTATAAAAAATGTCTACAAAAATAATGAATACATAATTAAGAATGATAATATTCTGAATACAGCAAAATATTTCTCTATTATCATGTATGTGTATATATTTTCTTTTACTTATAAGTAGATATTATAACTTCAAAATATTAGGTAATAAAATATTTTTTGCTTTATAGCATAAGTTATTTTTTACCATTTTTATCTAATTAAATTATTAAAGAATTTTAGAAATTATTTAACGATAAACTATAAATTATGTCGGATTCAAATCTCTCAAGTATGTTACCATCGATTCTATATTAGAAGCAACTAGACAAAACTGTAACAGAAGAAATACGAGTGCTACTAAATACAGTTATAAACTTCAGTATAAAGTTCTCTTAGATTCTTGCCGAACATGGAAATATTGGATTAAACTGAATCGAATCTGGCAGAAACTTACTTGCACAAATAGTATTGACCTACTTTCACACTTGTCTATACATATAATAAAATTGTAACTAAGCCGAATCTGCACATTAAATATTTTTTTGAAAATCTTATTGAAATAGACATTATTATCGATACAGAGGCCGAATCTATAGTTTTTAGAATTTTTGTCTGTCTGTCTGTTACCGCATCACGGAAAAACCACTGGAAGGATTTTCATGAAATTTAGTATGGCGATAGCTAGTTATCCGGGTCAACATATAGGATACTTTTTACCGCGGGAAAATATCTCATTTCTGAGAAAAAATACAAAAACTGCATTGTGCTAGTCACGAATAAAACTTAAAATAAATAAATATGTTTTACATAAAAAAAGATAAATACTTATTAGATATACCTATATATGTATTTATAAATATTACACATACCACTTTGATCCAGATCCATACTCCTAAAAGTTGCTTCTAAAGTTCTTCGTGCCATCATAACATGGCTGTGCAATTCTCTCATAGCAGAAGACTCTACCAAACCAACTCTCTGGCGAAATGTAAGACGGCGAGTACGAGATACCGCCGCCGTATATTGAACAAATTGTCTGTCTAGAGAATTCCCGCATAGCTTTAGATAAGCGCCTTTGTTTGAACCAAGTTCGTAATAGTTCGATGCCGAAAATATTGTTATCACCTGAGAATAACAAACATAAATAAATTATATATACATTTAATATATGTACATATGTAATAGTATAATATAAGAAAAACAATAATTTTCGTAACATTTACTAAATTTAATAATAATATAAAAATATAATATCGAAGATATTACGTTTCCATTATGCATGATCTCGTAACCGCCAGGTTTGCATTCATGACTCCTGACTAGAAAACTCAATTTATTCTTGCTCAAGAAAGTGACTGTGACATCAGGTCCAAAATACGTGCCCGCACCGCGTAAAGCATTCGCCACACAGCCGCCTGTGCTTTGAGGATCCGACCAGAGAATATCGAATACCTTAAAAATAATAATATATATTAATGATCTAGAAATAAACACTACGCTTAAAAAACAAAAATATACTACATTCTATCATATTTCATTATAAATGGAGTAGAATGAAGCAAAAAACTATCATTTTTATATATTTGTATATATGTATAATAGATGTGTAAAATACACACATTTATGTTTATATAGGTATAGGTATATATAGGTTTATATAGGTATAGCCTAGCTTTGTATACTAAAGCTTATACCTAGTACCTAAATAAATTCATTGTAAAGTGCGTGTGTATTGTATTTTCCCTCTATTTTAATGATTGATTTTATTTTGATTATGATTGATTATAGTCGCTTCTTGCCAAGTTTTTCAACCATAGATGAGGCGATTCAACACACACACTAATTCTATTTATATTTTATTTTTCCAAGTCTGTTTTCCATCGTGGCTATATCATAAGTAATTTATAATTAATTTTAAGTGAATGATAGTCGATGTCACTTTGATTTTATTTAATGTCTTTTTGTAATTGATAGCATGCCCCTACAGCTACAATTTTATTGCTAATTTCATATTTTTTTATATTTTTATATGATTTATAAGATTCACTCACTGATCAGATCTAAAATCTAAATCTTAGCCCATAATATATTACGATATAAATTCTATTGAAATGCCGATGCTTTCAATTTACATCTAAAACAAGTTTCTGAAAGGTGAATTTGTTTTCTGTGGAAAAATATGCTAAAGATAAAAGAGGTTTCCATCGCGTAAGGATTAGGAACTTACATCTAGCAAAAATAATATTTTTAAAATGTCATTAAGTTAGATTGCTTTAGTAACTTTTACGAGTACGGTCGAATCCGCTAAGTAAGGTATAAAATTAATTCGATCTTAAGAAATAAATCAATATTTGACATTATCATTGTTTTTTTATCTTAAAGAAGTTTTATTTGTTTTACTTGTAACGATTTCATTACATTTATACCTTCGAAGCGTTTCTGTTGTAAACCACTAACAATTTGCCCTTTTTCAACGTCCCACTGCTGGGCTTAGGGCTCCCTGGGAGTGAGAGGGAATTAGGTATTTGGTTCTATTATTTCACTATAGTTATTTTACTGCGCACGCCAAGTGTGGGTTGACTGAATTTACATGTGACTCGAAAACTATATAGGTTAGCCATTAGATAATGGTAACCATCCTATTCGGTAAATAGTATACTATGCGGGTTGCTCCTGGTACATCTTTGATACCAGAGTGGACTGTGGGAGCAAACCCTTTGTTGTGTGGTCTGCTTCGTAAGACCCGTCGTCGGGGCGTCATAGTTGAGTGCGTCATATTATGATGGGGAGGTTCTGTTGGGTGTTTGTGGATAGTACTGGCTTTTCTAGCCGGTAAGGCCCACATAACTTTCTGTACGTATGTTGATGGTATGCGTAAATGCATTTTCCAAAGATAAAAAAGTATGACAAATGTTCTGTAAATATCTTAACGTTTTATTTTACGAGTAATCTCTCACGAGTTAAAAGTTAGGTACAATCTATCACGAGTTAAAAGTTACCCTTCGAATGTAGGGCCCATGGTTAGAAGCCAAACTACGTAGGCTTAATAATAGGGCTCAGACTCAACCTTTCGGGTACCGAACCCTGAAATAGAAATTGTCCGGTGCTCATAAATTAAGTTGAAGCATATTTACGTGAAGGCTTTGGAACTTGCTTTTATAATTTTGCCCGAATGCATTACTCTTTAAATAATATCGTAAATCTTTCTATACCTACTGACTTTCAGATTTTTGGAATTAAAAATTAACAGTATTTAATACACTTTTAATTACATGTAATGTATCATTAATAGTATGATAATTAAATAGTCAAATGCTTATTTTATTTACCTCATGAAAACTTCTGCCTACAAACAAAAGCGAATAGTAAAGTTATAAAAAATAAAAAAAACAACTTACACTAAAAAGTATAAAATAATATTTTCAAAGTCGGTGCTATCCGATAATCGTTCTAACAAATGAATATCTAATAGGTCATTACGCATGAAATTGGAAAAGTGAAAAAGGAATCAATGAACTACCTATAAAATGGCGAAAGCGCATATATACGAGTAACAATGGTACATACTTTGATTCATTACATATCATAATCTTTTTTTCGTTTTGCTATTTCATAAAAAAAATCGCTTTGCTTTTTCCATATAAAACACCAATTTCATACGTAAGTGCCTAATATTGTTAGTTAATAAGAGTTAAGGTGATGAACTCTCTTCTAAGCTTTAACAATAAAAGTCCAAATTTGGTGAAAATGAATCTGTGAATCAATAAAGAAAGTGTAATCTATACATATAATAAAATTGTAACTAAGCCGAATCTGTACATTAAATATTTTTTGAAAAATCTTATTGAAAATATAAACATTATTATCGATACAGAAGCTGAATGAATATATAGATTTTAGAAATTTTGTCTGTCTGTCTGTCTATTACCGCATCACAGAAAAACCACTGGAGGAATTTTGATGATATTTAGATGGTGATAGCTGGTTATCCGGGTCAACATATAGCATACTTTTTACCGCGGGAAAATGTCTCATTTCTGAGAAAACATACAAAAACTGCATTGTAAGAGTATACTAATATGTAAAACCTAAGAATTTGGTATTTGGTCATCTGAACGCGGGCGGAGCCGCGGGCTATGCTAGTATTAATTAAATTTCAAATAAAAAAACATTGACTTATCATTACGAAGCATAATCGTATTTGACTTCACTATTCATATAAATATAAGACATGATAAATAATCATGCACGTTGGAGTGCTAATGCAACTCTTGTGCAGCGGGAAAATTATAGAGCTCGTGTTCTACAGAGCTATTGAAGAACACTGAACGAGAAACCGTATAGCATTAATTTACCTAATAATCGAACCTAGCACTTCGCCTGAAGTACATTATAAATGTGTACGTAAATCAAACCATATATAAACATTCATATATGCAAGTACTAAATTAAAATGAAAAGGATTTTTATGTTATTTTAGCATTAGTTCTTTAAACTATACGTCACTGTTAAAAACCAAATGAATAGCTAGCGCAAAGATTTAAAAATTTCAACGTAACATTGTGTTTCTTTTTAATAAGTAAATATGTTAGGACATTAACAGCGCCATCTAGTTCCATGGTAAGCTACGAGGCTTGTGTTATGGATACCAGATAGTTGATATACTACACATATATAACTTTAAATACATACATATTATAAATATAAACACGACTGGAGTACAAACATTCGTCATCACACAAATGAATGTCCCCAGCGGGACTCGAACCCGCGACCGCTGGCACAGAAAGTAGGGTCACTACAAACTGAGCCAAGCGTGTCGTCAATTCTTCTGTCTTTTGAAACGTATCTTTTTAAATAACGTATGTATTTCGTTCATAACAAGCACAAAGGTTCTTCCAGCGATTTATATCCATCTGAATATCTAACGCTTATACATGCAGCATACTTACTTTTGTCAAGGTAAAGTAAACTAACATAATAGTAAACACCAAATAAGCGAGATTTTGCCTTTTTTATTCGGACTACATGTTTTTTTTTTATATTCAGATAGTTTTATATTAAATTATCACATTAGAAACTAGAGCTGTGAACTTTGAAAAAAACATCCATAAATTAACTGTTTACAGTAAAAAAGCCACAAGTATTAAGAATAAATATCACAAATTAAGGAATCAACACTAGTATAACTACTTCGACCTAAATATATAAGCGTAGTCATAATATTTTACGATATCATTCAGTTTGGGTAATTCGCTTCTCTTGTTAGTGTTCGTACCGTAATCGAACAGTTATGAAACTTCCCAATGCCAAACAAATGAAACAAAAAATTGAAAAATATATTGAAGTTAGTTATTAATAGTATTGTAAGAATAAAGATTTACTTGTTTTAACCAATAATCTTCTCGATTTTATAAAGCTATAGTTTATTTTAAATGATATAAACTTATGAATTTGCTGCTAGACGTTTATCTAGTTAACGTTTATAGAGAACGACAAATTGTACGAAATCACCCAAGGGAACCGGAAGTTCATGAGCGGTTACAGAACAGTTTATCGAATCACACTCAAGGGTCAGGTCTGGCAAAGTTACATTATAGCAAGAATGATAATTTTAAATACAACACCGATGCTAAAAAATAGAATGACGAGTATGTAATAACTTAATAAAAAAAAGTACATTTGGCCCGCTGAATGAATGCTTTTATGAATCTTTGATTGAAAATCAATAATAGTTTTCCCCAATCTATATAAATAATAATGAAATGCCGTTTGCTAGTTAGTGTATCACTTTAGAACGTCTGGACCGATTTGGTTAATTTGTATTTGAAAATGTTCGTAGATAATAGACGAATGAAGATTTTTTGTATAACAAAATTCTAGGAAAGTTTCCCGAGAAATCGGGAAATCCCGAAAAAACCGAAAAAATACTTTTTCTATATATTTTTTTAAAACAAAAATTTATCATACAAAATCTATGGTAAGCAGAACAGGACAACGTCTCTTACCTAAGCCTCAGTAGATATTATAAATAATTCCTCATTGTAACTAATAACATAAAATATAGATAGGATATTCTTATAGATAAGATATTATCAAATATATTATTACTTTTACATATACATATTACATTCCACCATAACATACAAAACCTTTTATTCTAGTCACAGCTATCATAAAGTATAAGATTCTCAAAGGGAATCATATTGGGTTATGTCGAACGGGGCATAAAAAACTGAAATCAAAGGCAAATGTGTCTTTTCAGGTCTTAAAAAACCACGGCTTTATCTGTCTTATCCAACTTGATAAAACTGTGGTACGTATAACATTGAATTTAAATGAAAGAATATTACTTATATAAAAATTAGTTTTATAATATATTATACATTTTATTAATTTTATGAGAGTAAGCATAACATGATATAAAGATGTCGTACAATATTAAAATAAACCATCTGCAGTGTAGCGTGATATAAAGAGCTTAATAAATATTCCATATAGAAGTTTCTATTTAATGCCATACTACGATGTACTACGTGACTAGAGAAGCCAAACTAAAGTTGCAATTTATCGGCTTCAATCTAATTACGCATCTAGATGATTACAAAATTTTCGTTTAACTCTATCGTGCTTCAAAATACATACTAAACTACTAAAAATAAGAACTTATATACAAAGATTATATATGAAACACAAAAATATCACATATATATACACAATATATTAATTTCATAATTTATTATTAATCTTTATATGTATATCTTTAGAATTAGTATAAAGCAGCTCAATTTGACTATGAAAATAAAGTATAAATTAATTTCATAAAATTACATTGTAACCATCTTAAACGAAACAATGTAATAGTTGAAGTTTATTCCATTTACAGCAACTTGAACTGAACTCGAGTAACTATGCATATAGCATACTCTATATTGTACCTAACCTACGTAGTAACGTCTATATTAATACCGTAACCTAGATTTAAATGCGTGATAAAAACACCTGCAATAATTATATATTTTTCTTAAGCAGGTAATATATCATTTTATTAAGTGCTTGTATAAATCTAATTGAATAAAGTTTAATTTCATTTCATCGCATATCTATACTTATTATAAAAATAAGTCCCCCGGCCGCGTCTTTCTGTCCTCCTGTCTGTCCTCCTGTCTGTCTGTACGCGATAAACTCGAAAACTACTGAACGGATTTTTATACGGTTTTCAACAATAGAAAGAGTAATTCTTGAGGAAGGTTTAGGTATATAATTTATTATGCTTTTATGTAAATTAGCTGAAATACGGCGACAAATGTTGAAGAGGTCGCAAAAAATCTCGCCAAATGGGAACTTTCCACGCGAACGCCGCGTAAACTAGCAAAGATACAGTTAAGTAATGTACTAGAGAATTCAAAATCTATAAAAATGCTACAAAAAAGTCCGCGATAGCATATCTCTATCTCTTACGGTTGACTTACAATAACCACTTTTATGTTAACATTTTTAATTAAAAACATTACGTTATTTTCAAAGTTATTTTCTTTAGTTCGGTATTAATCCTTATCCAAATGAATATTTTAGTTAGCTTAGTCATTTAATGCAGATTAAAATTGCTCTTTACACTAAATCAATCAGATGAATAGTTTTTGAGATATCGTTGTTAGAAGTAATTAGTAGCGAAACATTTTTAATGCTTGGCGAGCATTGAGATGCCTACGGCGAGTCCATCCCCTCTGCCCCGCATCGCTCGACCGCCTGCTCAAGCTATATAAACCGGGCGATGTAGCGCGCGATCCTAGGATACTTTTTACCGCGGGAAAATATCTTATTTCTGAGGAAAAATACAAAAACTGCAATGTAAGAGTATACTAATATGTAACACCTAAGAATTTAGTTTTTGGTCATCTGAACGCGGGCGGAGCCGCGGGCAATGCTAGTAATTTATAATGAAGATGTAGCAAACTGGTTGGTTACAATAAAATAGATCAACTGCAGTGCAGTGTCATATATGATGAAGATAAACTTTAAACTAAAACATATATACATAGGTAATTGCATAAAAGAACTACTTATTTAGTTCTAATATCTTAATTAATCTAAAATATATCATATTATAATTGTAATGAGATCAAAATTATACATTAATAATAATTTTTTTTTTTAATTTGTTATTAAAAATTTGTTAATAACATAAAATTATTCGACAAATTATTATAATTTAAAAGATTGTTAGTGCACTTTTATACGAAACAATAAAATGAAAATATTCGTCGTAATATGTCTTAAAATAATATATTTGTTAGTTACAGAGGATAATGTGTTTTTTACTACTTTACGTTGTACAGCTTATTAAAATGTTTTATTGAAATTCGAAATGGAAATAACTTAGATCGTATTCGAATAAGGTACCTATATGTATGTAAACAGCTTACAAGCACAAGCTAGCATTATAATATACTCCTTGAGTGGCGACTATGAGGAAAATTAAGAATTTTCTTCTATTCATGTACACACGTGTGATACATTCATATGTATTATAATCTCATAGTTTAGTATTTAAAAACTTAGCTAAGGATTATGAACTTAATGTTAGATATCTGCATAGAATATAACAAGTTTTTATCTAATTTGTTTAAGTAGAAAACTATGAATCGTAAGACCCTTCTACAAGTTGTATGAAAACTAATTAGTCGGTGACCCGATAGTAAACCGAAAGTAATGGATACAATATTTGCACAAAGCTCAGGACTTGGAAAGTTTTGCATGGTTAGCAGAGTCATCATTATATTCTGGATTTTATATTTTGATACTACTTAGTTCACATATTGTTTTCACAAGCAAACTCTTCTGTTTTTTAAAGCCATACGAGTACCTACCTACCTATATGACATTTATATTTTCGACAGACTCTTGTTTCAACGGGAAAGTTATCGATTCTATTATATATTTTATTTTTATGTGTATGCATGTCACACTATAATTCGGTAATTAAGAGTAGATATTTACAATCCTCTTTTATAAATGGACGATACGTCAAGGGTATATAGTACCAAAATTCACCGAGTAAAATAGCTGTGTCATATGGACAGAGGTACTGACGAACGCGACGAAGTAATAAGACGTGTTCTACTTTCACCTTTTAGTTACAAATATAAAACTTTTTCTTCGTGGCACTATTTTAACAAAAAATCACACAAAATTGCCCCAAAAAAAGATAATTGCTAGTTGTTTTATATTTATGTATTTCGATATACATTTTTGTATACCAATTATCACAAAACATAGTTTGAATAAAAATCTGAAATATAGAAATAAAAGCGTCCGTCTGTGACATCTTTTGATGTCACAACTATTTTTGGTTGCCCCATATTGAACTCATCATACCAAAATATGTATTTAAAATAACCATAAGTATTCATTTACGTTAGTCTATTTGAGTATCTGTACAAATATAATTGACACAAATGAAATTATATAATTTCAAAAGTGTGTATGCATGTGTGCATGTATGTTTGTCGTAATATTTCTTAAAATTGTATAGAATTAAATTTAGAAATAGTAAAAATGTCATCAAAGTCAGCAGCTTATAATATATAGACTGTTAAGTATGTTAAGACTGTTAAGCTAATAAATATCCAAAGGCAACAAGATATCATTTAAAATCATACACAGTTATAAGCAACATTCTCTTTCAGACCGCAATCGAAGCGATCGATACGAGAAAGTGAATAAATGATTGATACTCACCTGCTTCCACTCCACCTTGTCGATCACTTCAGCGGGATTCGCGCTTTCATTCATCGGAGGCCGCAAGAGAGATACGTACTGAAAAGAAAATAACATCAAATTGCCACTCTACCATAGTACTTATACTTTCCTTTCATTTAATTCATACATATTTATAAACATATAGGTACATATTCGAACTCAGGCTGTTACTTCTCTTGCCTCTACACTGTACACTACTAATTGTATATGTTATAAATATAATATAAATAATAATGTTTGTTTTATTCCTTTCTATTTTATTATCACTTAATTACGCTTTGGATAAAGTTATCTTTTTGTAGTATCACAATATTATAATATAATGTTGCCACATTAATGAGGAACATATTATATACGAAATAATTGAAACATGAATTCGGCCTATCCTACTATTTTGTTTTCTACCGATTTTGATGAAACTTAACAAAAATATGTAGCTTATACATTAGAGTAAATACATAGATATAGTATATACTTTAATGAACTACACGGGCAGAGCCGCGGAAAATCGCTAATTTAGAGTCAAAGTTTGAGATTCAATATTCATTTAACATAATTAATTCGGGCTTAGAATAATTCTATCTTCAATGTTAATGGCTCGTTCGTGGTGTTTAAACCTGGGACGTGTCTAGCGAGCAAAGGAAAATATTTTTACGATCATAAATTATTAAGGTACGAATTACAAAATATCGCGCGACACAGACTTTCAATACCTAATCTCCTCAAAATTACAATTTTCAATTTCAATTATTTAGCTTTGTTTGCTATAGAATGATAATAATATTTTTCACTCGTATATATCTATACTAATATTATAAAGAGGTAAAGTTTGTGAATTGTGAGTTTGTGACGTTGTAGGGGGTAATCTCTGAATCTACTGAACCGATTTAGATGAAATTTGGCAAGAAGATAGTTTTAGACCCGGGGAAGGACATAGGATACTTTTTATCCCGGAAATCATACCTTAAGGGGGTGAAGTGAATGAGTCGCTAGATAATTAAATATATCAAATTATATTATTACTGTACTATTATATTGTTACTTTGTTCTATTCTAGAAAGTTATTAACTAAAAACCAATTTACTAGCAGCCCATTATTTCATTATGTAGGTATTATTTACATATTAATAACAAAACGTGCAAAGAAAATAATTATACACAAACGATTATCTGCAAATTCCCGCATGAGCGTTGCTTTTGTACTTCACTACTAATACAAAAAACACTCATTCCCACTGTATTTTTATTCCTCCGAGGCTTTACTTTTCCCAGTATTTCAATTACCATTTTATGTTTTATTCTACGATGTTCATTTAAACAGTTTAGTTTTAGTTATTTAGAATGCAAGTAATTAATAAGAATCATGTCAAATTTTCCTACAGGAAATTCGTCTTATTCGAAGAAAGAAAATCAATATTTTGAGTTAAAGCGGCTTACGTTATCGCGGCAATTTTCATCGACATACATTGAATAGTTTTCCCTAAACTAATAATTATAAAATTTCTTATAAATTCTATCCCCAATACAGAAAGTACGAGTATATTGATGAATAATAAATGTAAACAGATCTTACCTTATCTCTTTCTAGGCTTTTCACCATATCCAAGTCCGTGGTATCAGATATTCCGCCATGAACGACGAAAACACGATTATTAATAATAGTTCCCAAAGGAAGCCAGCGGTACACATTCTCGATCAGCTTTAACAGGCGCTCAGCGTTGTGCTATTCGTAATTAAACGTAAACATTATGACCTTTATACATACACATTGTTCACTACAAATGTTGCCATTTTGGCTTAATATCTGTCGACCTGAGAATTGGGATGTTGTTATTTAAAGTAAATATGATTTATTTCAATAAGCTGAAAATGGTTTTCTTCGCCCTCGACATTTATACGTGTTCATTAATATACGTTAACTTTAGACAATATAAATTTATCGTCTTATCTATACATATAGTAAAATTGTAACTTAGCCGAATCTGTACATTAAATATTTTTTAGAAAATCTTATTGAAATAGACATTATTATAGATACAGAGACCGATTCTATAGTATTTCGAATTTTTGTCTGTCTGTCTGTCTGTTACCGCATCACAGAAAAACCACTGGAGGGATTTTGATGAAATTTGGTATGATGATAGCTGGTTATCCGGGTCAACACATAGGATACTTTTTACCACGGGAAAATGTCTCATTTCTGAGAAAAAATACAAAAACTGCAATGTAAGAGTATACTACGAGTACTATGTAAAACCTAAGAATTTGGTTTTTGGTCATCTGAACGCGGGCGAAGCCGCGGGCAATGCTAGTCAAGAATATAATAACTCAAAAGGTTCATCCATAATTGCTAAATTGTAACAAGTCATGTCTTATAAATTCTAAGAAATAAATGTACACTGTTACGTAAACAAAACCTACGTAGGTAGTATTAATTCAAAATGAACTTCTTAATTGGGCCTTAGGTGACATTAAATCATGCAGTAAGTGTGTGTATTTTATGAGTATCCAAATCGGTGACATTTTCTTAATTATTTCTTGTGTATTGCTTACATTTAAAATGGCTGGATAAAACAGCCAGTAACATTTATCTCCTATATATAAGTAATATTTAACAAAAAAGATATTTACTTACCCGATACTTTTGATGAACTTCTCTTATAAAACCGTACCTGAAAAAATAGGAAAAAAATTAAAAATAATTGACCGTTTACCGTTTGATCCATATTTTTTATTATATACTTCTTCTTCTCATGATATAATAATTGTCAAGTTGTGATTTGGTAAATTATAAACCGCCATGGTGATATTATCCAATGATTTTTTTATTATACCGCTACATTCATACACATTCTAAATATTTTTTACATAATAATTTCTTAGCTTTAAGAGAAAATTTGACATTTTAAGTCTGAGGTTTTAGACGTCTCAAAGGTCATCATTATAACGTCTAAAATTTTAGTATCTCCCGTAACCATCAATATAAATCCGCAAAAAATCCGAAAAGCTAGTTTTATTTAAATATTTTTTACAGTTCAAATACAATCTCTTAAAACCAGGCTTCAAGGTAGGTATATACACATTCTAGCTAAGATGAACACTGTACCTGGAATTCATAATGAGATCTTCGTGGTTGCCTCGATTTAAATAAACTCCTCCAGGGAAAGCCAGCATGCAGGCCAATAACAGCAAAAACACCTCCAAACCCTTCTTGCCGCGATCAACGAAGTCTCCGTTAAATATGTATGGGTTCTCGGGTGATGGTAACCCGTTCTGCATAAATAGAAAATATTAATGTATGAAAAATCCCTGTGAAAATTGAGATAAATAGAAAAGTCCATTTAACCGGATTAAAACTCCAACAACGTTATAAACTGGACTACAATTAATCTTTACAAAGTGCTCTTTATCATAAATAACGCTACACGTGACTGTACAGGAATAAAAACGAATCTGGAACACGGTACGAGTTATTAATTCTGTGCGATGATTGTTCTTATTGCTGTACTCCAATTTAAAAATATGCATAATAGCTTGTTGGCAACCCATATAAAGTAAAACATATAAAAAATTGTGGGAACATACGTATGTACGTACGTACTTAAAATATTATTGTGGTAATTACTATCGAGTTTGAGGACTTTTCTATTCAATATAACACTTAAGGCGTACATTATTTCTCTCGTGAGGAGTTTTTTCTGTCCAAAACGTACGATATCAGAAATACCCTATTTTATCACGTGTTTTCGCCATTGGTTTGAGTCCAATAAGTTATGAAAATGATGGATTCGCCCGGTACAATATCTTTTATTATTTCGGAAACGTCTTCAAATCGCATTTTAATTATTATTGAAAACAAAAAATATATTAAATAGTAGAAATAATGGTATCACAATACTTTTAGCTTACATATTGTAATTATTAATTATACCAATCTGTATATCAAAATTTTGTGAATATTATATTATTTCTTATATGATTGAGATGAAAATCATCTATAACATCAACAGCAACACTTTATAGCTTGACGCAAAATGTCAAGAGTTAATTTGTGAATCCTTACACATGCAGCATTGGCCGTGACGGAGGTTACCTACTATACAGTGCGTGCTCGAATCGATACGACTTACGCAATCGTTATCCTTCGTCAGATACACGATAACTGTTATCCTGCTTGAGCGAACAATTACTACCCTTACTGTCCGTTTCACACTTTAAAGCAGATCTGAGATGCGATTTGATTAAAAAAATGATTACCGCAATGCTATATTAAATGAAATATTCTTTCATTATCCTTTTTTTAATAAACATTAATAATTATTATTATGACAATGCAAACAAATTAAGTAAAGTATAATTAAAAATATTCATGTAACATGTACAACAACCGAAATGAAAACAACTCTCAGTAACATATTCAGATTGTTTTACGTAATTGGGATTGGATGCAGTCATTTTAGCATTTTATGATTGAAACTGTTCGTTGGTTACGGGGAAATAAATTGGTTTAATTAAACGATTCGTTCGAATAAAACCCTGCTTAATGTTCATTAATAGTGACAGAATAGGCAATAGAAAAACAATATCAACAAACGAGGTCGTCCGCCGTAACAAGCGGCCTATCAATCAAATGGCACAACTCAGCAGTCAGCACAAATTGGATGACGCGTGCGCCGCACCCTAATTGTTAGCATAACACGACTTACCGCCTTCTTGACGTCAATACCCTAACTTATGTCTTACTTATGGGTATAACTAACAGTCTTATGAAATTCCCTCTAAGTTCTGGGCAAAGGAGTTATGGTATAGTATAAAGACCTAATCTTTAGGAAAACAATCTAATGAAATCACGGTCCTATTTTTTTTTATTTATTTAATAAAATTTCCAAAGCAAAAGTTGATTTCTTATGTTACTTTAAAATTTGTGAAATAATAATATGATATTTCATACAGAGTTTGTTAATAATGATAATTATTAATGTTCCTTGCAGGTTTTCCACACAGACTACTCTAAGAATAAATTAATATATGTACACTGAAAATAATAAATTCACGCTAACACAATTAACAATATGTAGAGTTTAACGATTATGCAGTACAAATAAAAATTTGACGATAACGCATTTGACAAAAGAATTTAACGACTATGCGGTCAATATAAAGTTGAATTTTAAATATCCATTACGCGATAGGGTCAATAGGTTAACGACTTGGTTCTCGTTTCTAGGTCGGAACGTCTCCTCCCAAACTGTTTCCTAACGATAACGAGACGCTATTTCCCATAACATTCATATCTCATTGTTACATTGAAACTACAATCTGGGTATTTGCCAGGCGCTAAAAGTAAAAATCATATACATTAAGAGCCTATAAATTCCATACTTTACTGGATAGAATATATAAAGTCTTTTATTTCCACCAATTTTATGAGAGATGTTCAAAGAATGCACAACAATTAAAACAACAATGACATACATACATATGTAGGGCGTTCATTATTAAGATAAGAATGACGTAAAAACTCTTTGGAACCGAAAAAAGTTAATACTGGCTGGTAAAGCCTGAATATTGATTAGATTTTGTTTTATTTAAATGGAAGTCTTTTGTTTGCAGTCTGTCGTAGCGTGTTGTCGAAAATGAAAAAAAAATAATTGTGCGCGATTATTAAGTATCTATACTTGAAAAATTTCACTAAGAAACGAGTTCATCAAGACTTACAAGATACTTTAAGAGCAAATGCTCCACCGTATTCTACAGGTGCACGTTGGTGCGCCAAATTTAAACGTGGAAGAACGTCCACCAAAGATGACCCTCGCTCGGGCCGCCTACTTCTCACTTTTTATTGAACGTCCCTCGAACATTGCATGTCAGTAACCAATTATGTCATAAAGGATTCGATAAAGGTAATATTAACAAAAATTTGTACTTATAAGAACATTATATTTTTAATGTCAATATAAATGTAACTCGAGTTCACGTTGTGTAGACGTAAAGTTTGTGGAGGCTATTACTCGTAGCATAAATGGAGCGTCATAATTTTATTTAATTTCGTAAATTCGTACATAAATTAAGTTAATATATTAATTTCAGGCTATGCTTACGAATGTATAATGATTGCTAAGCATTTAATTAATCGAAAATCGACATCTATACTAATATTATAAAAGGTAAAGTTTGTGAGTTTGTGACGTTGTAAGGGGTAATCTCTGGATCTACTGAATCGATTTAGATGAAAGGTAAGAAGATAGTTTGAGACCCTGGAAAGAACATACGATACTTTTATCCCGGAAATCATCCCTTAAGGGGGCGAAAATGGGTATGAAAGTTTGTATGGGGAATCAAGTTAGGAACGAACCCGAGCGAAGCAAGGGTGAATCGCTAGTTATTTATATTAACATTCTTAAAAATCGATAACATTATGTTAATTAAACATTAATTTTAATAAAAATTGACGTGTTTCTTAGAAATCACCTATTACTTTAGTACAACGTCAGGAAAAAGTATCCATCATCGCTTTTGAGTAAACCCAAAATACAGAACAATAGATGAACACGTTCTAAATAGAATTGGAGAATCAATACATAAATGGCTATAATATGCATATGTAATAGGCACCTATATATGGGATATTAAGGCATTTGAATGATAACCGTTCAGCCTTAATTTAGCTCGGCAAAGGTAAATATATCGTCAGCGGGTCAAATTAGCATATTAAATACCACGAGAAGAGAGGAAATAAATTATAATCATGCAGAATGGCTACCAATTATTCCAGTACCAGCCGACGCATAGATTCATAAATATGAACAATGAACAAACATATCACAATTTATGAAATTTAGTGTTACATTTCATTTATTTTTTTAATATTATTGTCATTTAAGTAGAGTGTATGTATTACCTAATTATAAAATGTTGTGCATTCCTGTAATTTAGAGTTGTATACAAAAAAGGAATTTATTAACGTTATTTTAGTGATTAAGTTTGTGTATATACTCTAGTTGGTAAGCCTTATTTAATAATAATAAAAAAATATATTTTAACTATACCTAATCAATGTTAATGCCTTATTGCCTTGTATTAATAGCTAAATGGGTTGCACATTTTCGTTTTCCGTGAACTGTTGATATATAATTAGGTTGCTATTCCAAATGAAGAACCACGTTCAGAAACTTACTTTTTAGTGCTTTGAAGCCAGATTGCTTTATTCAAAAGGTTTTTATTATTTTTTTTTTATTTTCAGTGCATGTCATAGTAGTGAAATTGGAATACGAAATCATATTTTTTTTATGATAGTCGACAATTATTACGACTTAACAACATTATTTTGCTTTTAGGCAATTTTTGTATGATTTTATATTTTATATATTTTTTAGATTATATATTTATATATACCTACTTAACTTCGAAACTAAAAAATTTGATAATATTAAATTATACTTACAAAATTAAGCATAGACTTGATACGACAATAATTAGAAGTAGCTTAACATTGAATTCGTCGATTAGTACGCTTGAAATGTCGAAGGAAATTATAAGGGATCATCTACGTTAATAGTATACAATTTAAACTGTCTTCGTAAAGTCAGTTAACATGCCTAAAAAAATGCCGAAAATTACTTATTTTGAACGTCGAAAATAAGTAACAACTGCTTTCTCCTTCTTCATCGATATGTCAGTTACGTAATTAATTCCAGTCAGTCAGGAGTCATGTTTAAAGGGCAACATTATTTTGTAACTTTCTCTCTTGGTCGACTTTCTTTACTACTTACAAGCGTTTTAAACATTTTTACTGGATTGGACATAAATATTGCTTATACATATTCTAAAAATATGGTAAAAGTTTATAGGCCTTAAGTCAATTACCTTATGAAATATGACAAGTAAGTCGTCCAACTTGCCATGTAAGTCGCCACAAATAGTAATTTGACTTGATATAGAAGTAGTTGCCACGTTGATGTTAGGCAGCCTCTTCAACATTTGGGCAGCCTCCTTCAAAATCTGCGCTACTTGCTTGGGATGTAAGCGATGCTAGAAACACGTATATACATTAAAAGAACTCATATAACAATTAGACATTAAAGTATATTTTTAGAGTGCAAATTGCATTATCACTATTTTTTGTAAGAAGTATTTAACACCCTATAAGACTGCATATCCAAATAATAACAGACAGCAGTAACTACAAGGTGATATAGCTGAACTACCCTCATTTTTTTATCAATTTCATATTCACAAGTCCGTGCCCCCGTGAATGGATTCACGTGAATTTTTATTCATAAGTCCACGATGGGTTCACATGGGAATTTGAAGGAAAATGGAAAATCGTACAATGAAAAGTCGTTTTCCTGATGAGGTTTATATAAATATAATATAATCGCCTAATAACTTCTTTGGACTTACGGGTTGATGACACCATTTTGTATGGGGACTGTGAACGTGTTAAGGCATAGTTTCGTGTAAAAGCCTTTTCCGCCCTGGCCTTGCTACTCCACTACATATGATACAGTCTCACTGACATGAAACGGGGGCAAAATGTCAATTATAAATTTTTTATACTATTGTTGCATGATTGCGAATATAGAACGTCTATCAAAATATCACCCCTACACTATGCTTGATAATTATAATTGTCAAGAGAGTTGACAATCCATGACTTGGACGGGTAATATGAAATCATTATGATAACAAAAAGATAAATTTGAAGTTTACAGTAGTAACATATGTTCGGATCTTTGTTTTACATAAAGAGTCAGTAGTTTGTTGAATAGAAAGTAATCAGCAGAAATTCGAAGTGAAGTTTCAGAAGAAATATAAAAAAGTAAAGAAAGGTAAAGGTAAGTGGAATTGCTAGTTGAATAAATTATCTGTGACTGAAATAAGCTGTTACTGTGTGTGGACCGCGAGTGGTCATGAACTACTTTATATGACTCTCATATTCGTAAAAGTAAAAAAGTAAAGCAACTTTAAGTATTAAAATTTCCGACCAGATCCTGCATATCTCGTTATACTATTCACGTTTCTCTAGTGTATTTATTATGAAAAAGTAAAATTAGTTTGTGTGTTGCCTCGGGAATAATCTCTTAAATTACTAAAGTGTTTGTTATATTTATTAACAGAAAGCTACCCTAGCTAGCATAAGTTTTTTTATTAACAGTGGGAATTAATTCATCTAGAATTAGACATACATACATATATGTACATTGTACATACATACATTCATAAATACAGATCAAACACATAGCCCTCCTTTGGGCTTCGCCGCAGTCGGGTAAAACCTATAAGTACCATGAATATTAAATGTACACAGCCGCAACAAGAAAATTAAACTGACACTAATCAGATTTCGCAAACTGTAGCTGGCATGTTTAGTCTAGCGTGCGATGTTATAAAGTTTATTCAACATGGATAATTATAATTAATCAGAGAGTACATTAAAAATTTAAATAATCTTAATCATCATATCAAAAATAAAGCAATTTTTATAACCCAATTTGTTTATATCATGAATTCGCATCTTACTCATTCTTGCATGGATCTAAATAGTGATTTTATTTTATATGTTTTTTAATTGTAAGTATATATTTTCTAACAGTAGCGTGTTCAGTCACTTACAAAAGTTTCTATCCACACGTACAGTAACACTTCTTTCACAAACCACTCTATACCATCACTAGATCTTATTAGGTACTTTACTTTTCATTCTTTTGTATTTTTCTCAATTTCTGCTTAACCTCCTACTTGAAACTTTATACTTTTTACATTAAGTACTTTTTGGAAAATCTTATTAAAATAGTTATTATTATCGATACAGATACCGAATCTATAGTTTTTTGAATTTTTGTCTGTCTATTTGTCTGAGAACGCATCACTAGGAAACCACGGTATGATGACAGCTGGTTATCACAACACTTTTTACTGCAGGAAAATATCTCATCTCTAAGAAATCTATACTAAACTTTAAACTGTAACTAGCGACGAACGTCGCTAGTGTATATATAAAAGCGAAAATGTAGGGAAAGGAACAATTTTTGAAAATTTACATTTTAGGAGGGAAGAAGCTTCTTCTTTGAGTTTTGTTTGTAGTCTTTACTCTATTCGAACTACGTCACTTTTTATCTAGTTGGAATATGTCTTTCGATATATTGTGCTAACATTGTTACTCTTCAGCTTTCACTGTCTATTTTCCTTTACTTTGTATTTGCGTAATCCTTTTATCAAATTGCGCACTCAAACTGTAAGCCATTTTACGATTTTATTTATAGAACAACACCATATCTGTTGTTATTTAGATAAAGAGGCTATAACTACAATACTATATTAAATTTTATTCTTTCCTCTTACATCCCTTTCAGATAGGTAGGTACCAAATAATTCGTCTGGTACATATTTTCATATATCCATCCAATTCATTAAATTCAATGTACATCATAAGTTTTAAACGACTGACGTTAATGGAACAATTTAATTTCTCTTATGTCAGTTCTAGTCAAGACAGAAATTTCTCATTCCACATACGTCAGATTCAATATAATAAAATAAAAAAAAACCAAAGTTTTGACCTTTGCCCTTGAATAATTATTTTAGTACACATGGGATCGATGGGGACTTTTGGCACTTTATTTCTACTGGTGCACCCAAGGTCTCTACCAAAATTCAGCTCTTTCGGAGTTTTTGTTATTTGAAATGTCTATTTTGACCAGACTAATAGGCAATAATTATGCATAATTTTTTTATTAAGTTCAAATAATATTATTTTTTTAATCGTTATTTCTATTTGCTAACATCTAAGTAGGTTTTAATTAAGATTTTTATATAATTAGCGGTATCTGTACTATAAATCATATATTCATATTTAATTAAGTGGGAGTTCTCCAAGTCCAAACTATCCCGGCAGTGTCGATTGATATCATTGTAGTTTCAAAGGTCTTATTTACAAAGAACCAAAAATCAAGGAAAGGTTCGATCAACTATATGATCCAAAATCCAAATCCAAAAAATATATATCGTGTGGCATTTGTCGTCAGTGGAATATAAAATCGATAATAAAACTTTTTCTCTGGCATACTTCTTCATCTGCAGAATGTAGTATTATATGTATAAATTAACTTACTTTTTTCTTTCTAAATGCTTCTATAAGCAGGTCGATATCTTTGCGTTGCAAAGGGAATTCGAGATCAGGACCGCCGGAATGCTTTGGGGGCGCTGTCTCGTCCACGCCGCCCCCTTCGTCTGATTCTTCAGAAAACACTTGTTCCGCTAAAAACATATTTATATAAAATTAATTAAGCAAAGAGTAGTAATTATTCGAAGAATCACGTTGATTTTGTGATTTTTTCTTCTATCTGAGTGTGACAAATAACCTCTATATAGCGTACCCACGTATTGTCGCCACTCTGCGAGTACGTGTTCAATTTTGGAGACATTTTCAGAATTAAAATGTTAATTAGCTATATTCATAGACCATAGTGCCTTTTTTTTTACAATTTCTTATGAAAAGATAGTAAAAATTTATGTTACTCATGGTCAAATAATGCATTTACTTTAATAGCATTTTATCAAATTAGTATTAGCCCGTTTATAAGTATGGACTTTCATAATACATTTGTTAAAAGTTAATCTTCAAAACTTAAATAAGACCGTGAAATATATTGTCAGAACCCTTATAACATTATTCTTTGATGATAACGAGATGTGCCATTGTTACGAAAATGCTTTTCACCTATGTTAAATTTAACTTTAAATGTCAACCTATCTTATGTATATATATTGTTATAATAAAAGGATACGTTGGCGTGGTAGGCACACTACAATTGTCTGGCTGGCAGAGAACTGAATATCACAGACCCCGCGTATCCCCCATACCTAGGTTAATATGCACATATGTACATATATGATCATACAGATATTTGTGGCAGATATAGTTTTGTTAAGTTACAGGTACAGGATAGCGCTACCTAAAATTGTAACTAGTCTCAAAAACGTTAGATAGTAAAATATCTTAATTTATACTTTTATAAACAAATAAATAATCGCAGCTTTATTTAAATCCAACTGCCATAAATTTTAGGTTTGACTACGTCCAGAATAAATTATTGTAATAGCGATCCAACTTTTTGCAGAATCTGTAACTGATTTCAGAACGGACGGAAATTAAAGCAATTTTTTCAAAACGACCCTCATTGACGAAATATTGAGACGCGAATAATGAGTCAATAAAGCACTCGTAAATTTCTCTACTTAACAATAAAAAAATAACAACTGAATAAAAATTTGTACAAAAAAATATCTGATAGCATATCTTATACATCTCAATGAATAACAGTATCACAAAACTCTATTCCCAACTTTCTATAATGAAGAACGATGCGAATAGTTATCCTCAATGTCACGCATTTCGTTACCTGTCAGGAAAAGACAAACAGATGGTTCATACAATTCACTGCCAAAACACGCTTCATAGATACAATGCAAATGTGTTCTTTGAACTTTGTCTCTATATGTACTTACGTGTACTTTAAAAATATCAAAACAATATATTAAAAATAAAATTTAGATTATTTACTGCATATTAGAAAACTACTTTTAATAGAAAATTAAAAATCTCATTTTTTACTGTACCAATAAGTATTTCCATTCCCTGCGTTAATACCAACATAATGATTAAATATACAATCAAATTAAAATATAACCTTCGAAAATTTTTGGATTTGCAAAATTTATATGCGGTAAAAGACATAACGTTGCCTGGATATACAGAAATAAAATATGCGACCCTTTATGATAAAAAAAGTCTGTGAACTTGAAACATCTCCGCGATTATTATCTGAGGGTACTTCAGGCCCGTGTCGTGTCGAAGAGCCACTGAACTAATTCTGATCCGGGTTTTCTCTAGAGAGAAAGATATTTCTGATATCTTTGATGCCAGCATATTTATACAAATATTAAGATAATAATTAAAACATAAAAACTTAAAAAAACCGACTACCAGACACTAAAAAGTAAAAAAATAAATGAACGGCGGTCTTCATTTACTATAGATACCTAATCAGATTTCAAAGTCTGTGTCAGCCGACAATGTTTAAGAGTATGAATATTTAATAGGTAAATGTGACAAGGTTATTAAACTTTATAGTTTAATAATTATATATAGTTAAAATTTGTTTTATATTTTACTTCATTTTACATAAAGGGATCTATTTACACATGTCTAGATAGATTTTTGTTTTGCCGACTTCGAAAACATCTCATTAGTATTGATAGTAAATGATAACTTTGGTTCAGTTATTTTTTAGCTTTTGTTTTTAATTTTTTAAAGTAAGCTTAAATTAGAAATTGATTTTAAATATAAGTATACATATAACTATTGTATTTTATTTGAATTAAAATTTATGTAAGCTTTTTAATCTTATGATTTACTTACTGACAGACGCAGTTCTTGAAGTCCGTTCAGAAGATGGTCTGCCACTCGTTTCCCGCATATGGCTCAGTAGCGCGTTGAAGAAGTTATACAACTAAAACAAGAATATATTGGATAATGCTTCTTATGAAACTTGGAAATTATTTTCTCATTATCTCTCAACTCATCAACTGTGCGATCATTTTGCTTCTACAATTTTGTAAATAATAACTCTAATATTCTGTGATAAAAGTAAAGATTCGTATACTTATTGTGCGTATTTGAAAAAATACAATGTAACTAACTGTATTCTTAAATCTACAGAATAAATTTACGACTACTTTACAGTCATATCTACGTGAAACAGTAAGAAGAATGATAGCTGCATTCACCTGCTAAATCTTTATTTCTTCACAGTTATACGAACTAAAACGTGAATTAAAAAAATATAATGTATGAACTAATACATAACATCACAAAGAAAAAATACAAAAAATAAATCTGTTACAATTCCATTACAAAATAAAAAGAATTATAAGAGTTGAACGTGTTAAATCCGATTAAAATGGGGTATATTTTTGTTTTGTTTGCCTGAATTTTAAAACATTAATTGAAAGAAAAACAAGATATTTACTTACGTAATGGTCGAAAATGAATAAAAAAAGTATAAAAGCTTTTTCGGCTAGGTGTGTTGTGAGAATATATAAATTGATTTTCAGTGACCCCTATATCGAAAATCACGAAACAACTCATATATACTCATAATTATCACTTATATTACCTTTGATCGTGTAGCCGGATGACTGCCTAATAGCTATACGGCTCGACTATCTCTTGGCCCATTTACGCGTTAAGTTGACCTAATATATCTTGGCTTGACTATACAGTATACATAACACTATTATACTTAATAACATATTTTCTTTATACTATCACAAATAAAATAAACTTGTGTTTGTTTTTATAAAGTTAGAATTGTTTTTGTAAAGTACATAATATATAAACACTCGCATGCCATTAAGGTCGTCTAAAAGTTTCGTCGGGATTTCTGTAGGTAGCATAAGGACGGGTCTGATTATATCAGAACAAACATATTAATATACTAGCATTGCCCTCGGCACCGCCCGCATTCAGATGACAATAAACCAAATTCTTAGGTTTTACATATTAGTACTCTTACAATGCAGTTTTTGTATTTTTTCTCAGAAATGAAACGTTTTCCCGCGGTAAAAAGTATCCTATATGTTGACCCGGATAAATAGATATCACCATACCAAATTTCATCAAAATCCCTCCAGTGGTTTTTCTGTGATGCGGTAACAGACAGACAGACAAACAGACAAAAATTCTAAAAACTATAGATTCGGCCTCTGTTTCGATAATAATGTTTATTTCAATAAGATTTTCCAAAAAATATTTAATGTACAGATTCGGCTTAGTTACAATTTTATTATATGTATAGATTTAAGGAATATAATATCTACATACAACATAACATAACGATGAAATAAAACACACAATCATTTATTTACGGCCAGAAGGTGGTTCTAGAATAGACATCGTAAATGTATCTACTGTGTAATACAGAGACTTATAGATACGTAAGAGATATTCATAGTATTTTTTGCACCATGAAATAAATTATGTTAAGGTAATCGATTATAATTATAGCGATAAAATATTTTGACAAATACTGTCTACCAATCTTCTATACATAGGTATAATTAAAGTCTAACTGAGTCGAATCTGTACATTAAATATTTTTTGGAAAATCTTATTGAAATAGACATTATTATCGATACAGAGTCCGAATCTATAGTTTTTAGAATTTATGTTTTTCTGTCTGTTACCGCATCACAGAAAAAGCACTGGAAGGATTTTAAATTTAATATAATTAAATTTGGCATGGTGATAGCTGATTATCCGGGTCAACATATAGGATACTTTTTACTGCGGAAAAATAACTAATTTTTGAGAAAAATACAAAAACTGCAATGTAAGAGTATACTCATATGTAAAACCTAAGTATTTGGTTTTTGGCAATCTGAACGCGGGCGGAGCCGCGGGCAATGCTAGTATACAATATAATTATGTGTATAGAGATTGAGTACCGAGGAAAGTCGCCAGAACCTCGTTGCGATTGGACGTTTACGTCTATCATATTAGGGTTTCGGTTTCTTGGGTAACTTTTAGTTTGATATTACGAGTGAACACTTGTAAGTCGTAATAACTTTACTTTGATGCCATCCACGAGTCAACGACTCAGTGACGTAATATAACGGAGAGAAAATTGTTAGTGCAAAAGATCGAATTACGATTCAAATCTTAAGGTTTTTCAGTATAATCTAAGATTTGCCTAATCGGTATTTTCAAGCTTCCAATAGCATTTATTAAAATTATTAATCTTAAAATAATCGCTGGACTAATATTATATATGCGAAAATTTGTGTGTGTATAAGTATACAATATTCTTCCTTAACCCTGCAACGGCTGAACGGATTTGAATTAAATTTAGAATACACGTAGACATAACGTTGAGTTACACATAAGCCACTGTTAGACACCTTTAGGGATTCACACCTAAATCACTACACAATTATTTAAGTTAATGCTAGTGTTTCATTAACTTATTAAAATACATTGTAAACCATAAGAGATAGCAGTCATATTTATTATGGTTTTGATAAAGTCAGTGATTTAAAAAAAAAAACTAAAAATAACCTAGAAGAAGACAAAAAAAGTGATTCTCATAAAGATCTTAACATTTACCGTAGTTCGAAGAAGATGTAACAAATACAGGGTTTATGATTAAGATTTTTGAACAATGTTATTATAGCATAGATAGATGTCAAGCTTACCCTCTGAGACAATTTTGTTTGAACGTGATATTTGTTTTTATTGGCACTTTAGTAGTATTTCTTTCACTGGATGTTGATTGCTTTATTCTCGACGACGAAAGCGTAGATATAAAATGGATGAAAATTATTTTATTGCTAACCTTTTTGTGAGCAACTTCGTTTTACAGAATCAAATAAAAGATTCATTGAGCAGATAGAATGAAGAACAACCGACTTTTAAGCGTACTAAGCTTAATTGAGATTTCTTGAAATGTCTTAGAATATTTTATGTAAATTAAATCTTTGATCGAAGAAATTGTGTAGATATCGGATTATTGCAAAGTCGACAAAGGAATCTAAATGCATTTTATCATTTTGACAACTTAAGGGAGATCTGAGGAATAGGTATGGATCCAATTATAAAATAAACATAAAAAGCTGTTATCTTAATCTGATAGCTTAATAAAGCCTTTTACTTTTTTTCAAACAAATATAGGTCTTTTAAAATAGGTCTTCAATTTGATCACTTGAATTATTTTATGCAATAAATAAATATAAAATTTTGAATTAATGTATCATTTTGAATAAAATCGCAACTGACTTGAACTGACTGATTCAGTAACGCCTAGACGAAACCGCTAGATATATCTATAGATTAATTAAGGCATTGTATTCCTGAATAACTGCTAAGAATCTTCCTGAAATTCTATCCCTAAGATATAAGGGTGTGATAAAGTTTATATTGGACGTAATCACTTACTGCCCAATTTGGCATTTATCCATATTATGACTGATTTGACGACCGTTTTACTTGCTGTACCAGCGATCGTGGGATGGAGTCCCGCTGGGGTCATTCATTTGTGTGGTGGGCACGAATGTTTGTACTCCAGTCATGGGTGTTTATATTTATAATATGTATATATTTAAAGTTATGTATGTGTAATATATCAACTACCTGGTATATAATACAATGGAGTATAACACAAGCCTCGTAGCTTACCATGGAACTAGATGGTGCTGTGTGCAACATATTTATTTATGGTAAAAGCTGATACATAATTTTTGAAACGACTCTATTGATAGTAATTTTATTATTCCAATAAAATCAATCTTTTCTTAATATATATAATTCTTCTGTACGTGTGTTAGTCATTTAAGTCCTCCTAAACGGCTGAACCGATTTGGATGAATTTTTGTTTGTATATTTCAATGGGTTCCTGGATTATTTGAAAACACAATTGGACCTGGAAGGTGGCGCTGAAGTTGGTGTGTCACCAAATTTTCATGAAAGACTCTATTTTCCAGGCAATAAATACATTTAAATTGATGAGTAAATAAGAAGGTTAGGGGTTACACGTAGACGTCATTCAGCCAATGTTGTTAATGCTAAGGTCAAAGCTATATAAAAATCGATGTGTGTTCTCTACGTACTCCAAAACGGCTGGAGCGATTTTGATGAAATTTTTAGACAAATTTCAAACTAGCTCAGCGGATGATGTTACGTTTGGTAGCGACTAGCGATCAAAAGTTTTAACGCAGGCGAAGCCGCGGGTAGTGCTAGTTATAGGTACTATATATTAGTAATCCATGTATACCCACTATCATATTATGTAACTACAATATAACATCTACGTAAGATTACTAATATTATATTTAATAATTACAATAAACCAATAGCAATTTTAAATTATTTTTTTATCTTGGATAAACAAAATGATCGCTTATGTAACAATATCACTTAATTGGTTTAACAAGGAAAATTATAGAAGTTAATAACCGTTTACAATAATAGAAAATCATTATTTAATGCGATGACGATATCTATAATCTAATATATTTAAACGAGCAATTCTTGTATATATATGTAATACATATGTGAATCACGGAAACGGCTCCAACGATTTTCATGACATTTAGTATACAGGGGGTTTTGGGGGCGATAAATCGATCTAGATCGTTTTATGTCTGGGAAAACGCGTGTTTTCGAGTTTTCATGCGGTTTTGTTTCGCATTATTCCACGCAAAATATTGTCGCTATTTCGTACGCTAGGACGTAAGCATCATGGTCAAGCGACCAAGGCGCAAGTTTGACAACCGCAGGTGTCTGGGTTTGTATCCCGGTCGGATACAAAGTTTTTACTTTTTTTTTGTATTTATTCAAATTTTTAGTTTGTCTTTTTTTTAATGTTTTTTAGCCAAAAACTCCGAGCGAAGATCGGTCGCCCAGGTACTAATATTTATTATTAATTTACGGTGATCAATTAAGAAAGTCACAATT